TTCGTGTCCTACATAAAAACTAGCCTTTTAACCAGTTTAAAGTGTAATGCAGAACCACGTTTTAACTATAGATTTCCTTTAACGACATAGAACGAGTTTAAGACTAAAATAGTAGTTAATTACAAAGGTAAACACTAAACAGCCTTATTTAGGTTTGGCAGAGTTCCTAGATACCTATACTGGGCACTGTGCCAGATGCCTGTTTTCAAATATATATTACACAATATCTTAGTAGTTGTCACAGATTGACCCAGTACGAACAATATAGCGACAGATTTTTTTACATCAATGAGTTTTAAACAATCATATACTCGTAATAAGTTCTAAAGAGCTAATCAGATGAGATCAAAAGCTCTTTTTTATTTTATATATTTTAATATTTAATCCAAATGAATGTCCTCATGATTTTCATCATGTAAATTTACTTATAATACGTCTTATTACTTACTTAAATTTATTAACAAATACTTTTAATATAATATTACCTATATAATACTTTTATATGATACAGTAAATTTTATTCCGCTTTTCTTTCAGTATTGTAATAATTTTATTAAATCCAGTAACAATAAGACCCGGTATTATACTTGTATACTCTCACATCGAATCGATAATCTACTAGGCAATGTCAATCAAAATCATGCAACACTATGTAGTAATTAAAATAATTAAAAGCCCATAAAAAGCTTAAGTAATAAACACTCAGTTGCTCGACATTTCATTGAAGAACATTCATATATTTATCATCCTTAGTACACGTAGGGGTCAAAATTCAGACATAATGATTATTGAAAATTCAGTATAAAATCAACTATCTATATAAAAAAAACTAATCGTTTCGAATTTGTTTTATTGATTTTATTGATATGAACTTAAAAGCTCGTCAAAAGCTACGAAAACAAAAGAAAGTCTGTTGATAAGCACAGGAGAAAAAGCTGCTCAACAATTTTTTTATGGGACCACGGGGGCAAACGGGCAAGAGGCTCACCTGATGGAAAGTGATCACCGCTGCCCATGGACATCTGTAACACCGCAGGGCTTGCAGATGCGTTGCCGGCCTTTCAGGAAGGAATACGCTCTTTTCTTGAAGGTGGCCAGGTCGTAGCGGATCGGAAAGACCACCGGTGATAGCTGGTTCCAGCGTGGTTGTGCGGGGCAGAACATGCCTTAAAAATCCCACTGTTGTGGAACGCTGGACATCAAGGTGTTGTGGATGGAATTTAATATATTGTTGTTTTGCCTTGCCTGTTTATAGATCTATGTCATGATATCAATGCCAAGTCATTTGAGTTATGAAACAACGTAATTATTATGTCAATATTTATTTTGGCACGATCTTAAAAACATTATTCAACACATTTTTGAACTTCATGTCTTAGTAATATGTATATAATATACTAAAATATTTATGACGTCCTGCAGTTTATAGTTCAGTTCCCAAATTATAAGATAGAGTTATTTATACAAGCGATAACCTATTTGATGCATGTAATTCATAAAACGTTAGTTTAGAAAGAAAAGCTCAATATAGTGTATTTACTGTAGGATGACACTAATATAACTTCGAGATATTCCTTGCATATATTCTTATATTCAGTACTTTTGCAACATCAACCTTATCTATACATATAATAAAATTGTAACTAAGCCGAATCTGTACATTAAATATTTTTTGGAAAATCTTATTGCAATAGACATTATTATGATAAAGAGGCCGAACTATAGTTTTTAGAATTTTTGTCGGTCTGTCTGTCTGTTAACGCATCACAGAAAAACTACTAGAGGGATTTTGATGAAATTTGGTATGATGATAGCTGGTTGTCCGGGTGAACATATAGGATACTTTTTACCCTGGGAAAATATCTCATTTCTGAGAAAAAATACAAAAACTGCATTGTAAGAGTATACTAATGTGTAAAACCTAAGAATTTGGTTTTTGGTCATCTGAATGCAGGCGGAGCCGCGGGCAATGCTAGTGGTTTATATGTATTATTATCTAAAATTATAAATGTATCTAAAATGTAGATCATAATATTTGTATATCCTTGTTATTCTGTTACAAGAGGAAAAGGAGTATTTTTAGGAATAATCCCTTGAAAAATATTATTTTTCCCGTTAGACCGTAAAGAAGCTTAAAATATTTTTGAGTAGAATGGCAATAGTTAAGGTAAAAAGCTCAATAGTTCTTTCAAAAGTATTACCGGACTACTATGATAATAGCGAAAAAATTGTAGGTATATTTGTGTACTTTTGTTGCTACTTTTTCCCGTGAAAACACCTAGATGGATTTGAATGAATAGTACACAGATAGTCTATGACCTGGAGTAGCATATACCTAGGTACTGTAACATACCTAGGGGCGTGTCATTATATCCTACAAAAACAATATTCATATATTTACGACTGCTACTCACCCTCGCTTCGCTTTAGGTTCGTCCCTAGACAAAAACAAATCTATCCCACGGGAACCGTAAATTTTTCCGGGATAACAAGTAACCTGTGCTATTCCAGACTATAATGTATCGCTGTACCAAATTTCATCCAGATCCGTTCAGAATTTCTGGCGTGAAAGAGTAACAAATATCCATCCATCCTCACAAACTGTAACGTCCTTTATAATATTAGTATGGATGCGACAGGTATCACGTTTATTATTATGTACTACTAGCAGGACCTGCGGCTTCGCTTGCGCTAGAAGTACAAAAAACTCTAATAAGGTAGGTTTCGAACAAACTTTCATCCCCTATTTTAACGCATTATGGAATGAATTTCGAACACCTAAACACATATTTATTTAATTGTATTGAAGAGCATTAATAACAAGTTTCACGTAATTGTGATCATAAATATTTTATGGGTTGTATTATAACGTGTTTTCCCGTGGGAATGAGATAATCTCCTGCGGTAAAAAGTTGCCTATGTCACTCTCCAGCCCTCTAAATATCTCCACACAAAAAATCACGCTAATCCGTCACTCTGTTTCAACGTGAAAAAGGACAAATAAACAAACAAACACGCTTTCATATTTATAATATTAAGTTTGGATTAGCAATAATTGTTTATGGATCAAATAGCATAGTCGAAATCTGTGATTGGTAGACTGACATAGTTGTGTAGACGTCTGACAGATAAATTAAATCTTGTGATCCTCTGAATTTCTACACAATAAACTAATCGGATCCTGAATTCTATAAGTGTTTGGCATCTTACTTATCGTTCATGTCATCGTAAGTGATATAGTATTTTTAACTGTTAAAGAAATTAATATTTTTACATTTTAACTAGCTTTTTTAAGACATTTTATTTGAATTTTTTACACATGATGTTTTGTACATTATTTCTCACTTCTAAAATTATAACGTCATATTAGATAGCCTATTTTTCCACTAAATAGGTTGTAAAAAGCACAAAATATATTATATTAGACTGGTAATAACAGAGATAAGTGTTCAAATAAATATTTTCAGCTTCATAAGTGTACATATGTATATTGCGTTCAGATGACTTAAAACCAAATTCTTAGGTTTTACATATTAGTATACTCTTACATTGCAGTCTTTGTATATTTCCTCAGAAATGAGACATTTTCCCGCGGTAAGAAGTATCTTATATGTTGACCCGGATAACCAGCTATTATCATACCAAATCTCATCAAAATCCCTACAGTAGTTTTTCTGTGATGCGGTCACAGACAGACAAAAATTCTAAAAACTATAGATTTGGCCTCTGTATCGATAATAATGTTTATTTCAATAAGATTTTCCATAAAATACTTAATGTACAGATTCGGCTTAGTTACAATTTTATTATATGTATAGATAGCTATATAACATAAAGCCAAAAAGTTTTTTTTGTAGATAAAACGCGGGCGTAGCCGTGGGTTCTGCTAGTATGTGTATAAATTCGTATAATAAAGTTCTTGAGTCGCTATGTTTGCTGTAGGTAAGTAATTGCTGTACATTGTACAATGTGTACTAATATTATGCAACTAAATCTTATAAGTTAAACTGAACCTTATTTCAAGCTCAATAAGATACATTTAAACTGTTTTTAAAATAACTGAAGCTTTAGGTTATCTCTACTATGGTATTAGATGAGTGCACGAGAATTATATAAGTACCTATATAAGTTGGCAGTCTTTTCGATAAATTAAAATTTAAATAGAGTTAATCTTTGTATTATGCTATATTAAAGTTATATTTAATCTGTGCTCGGTGGCGCCAAGACGTTTGTCATGCGATGGTGATAACCAATGAGAATTAAGAAGATAGTAGGTTAGATTTAGTTATACCACATACATATACTTAAATAATATATAATAAGTAATAGTTGCAAAAAGAATTAAAACCTTAAAAAAATATTATTGGTGTTTTCTTAAATCACACATGGCGCAGTCGGTAGGATACGAACCTACGCTCCCAAAGGGAATCTGATTTCCTTTCAGTCCGTACATAAATCACACAGTATCTATATATTAACTAGTGGCTTACCTTGGACCCGCTCGCTTTTATAGGACACAATTTGTTTTATCCTAAGATACAAATCATCATACCGGTAGATTATTATTGCAAAATGCTTAAAACTATAATTTATTTATTGATTATATATTATGGCCAATAGAAAGAGGTACTATCTAGAAAAGTATACATATATATGAGTCGCTTAGCGGAATAGTGGCCTAATCCACAAATTTACAGAAACAGAGTTAAGTAGATATTTGTACACTAGACTATAGATCTTTAAAACTATACTGGCCTAAAACTTAGTTTCGGTAGTGTTTGATAGATGGCGTTGATGAATGTTCGTATTCCATTTCAAATTTATGATTACTTTCGTAGGAAAAGCGGCCTATTATTTGATAGGCCCTCTTGCTTCAGCACTTAATAATTTTAGAACAACAGAATAGTGGCCCAACCCACTCTAGGCCACTTTAGTTATTAAAATATGGCCACACCTATTAAAAATTAAAAAAACATAGAATAATAACAAGTTTATGAAATATGTCTGAAAATGAGATATCGGAAATATCCGGGACAGATTTCGAGGATTCTGGTTCGGAATATACTCCATCTGATAAAGAAAACCAGCGTAATAGGCATCGTTCTCGGAAAAAACTTGTAATTCCTGAAAGTTCTGATGAATCTTCTGTTGAGGAAGCTAATGATGGAATTTCATCAAAAGAAGGTACGTTTTTCAAGTTTCGTAGTAAATATTTGATAAAATAAACATCAACTATAAAGTTATTATTGTAGTACTAATTTTATATTTCCTTCTTTCTAGTTGCCGAAGACGATAGCGTATGCAAAAGTCGGAAAAGAAAAAGGAACGTATGGAACTGGAAAAAGGAGAAGGCAAAACGAGCCAGGGCTTTCGGACAAGCGTACCTAAATGTGAAAGGAAGTTCTGTACCAGCAAAGATTTTTAATAGTGAAGACTGTGTATGTATTCATAAGTGTCACACCAAGCTGTCGATGGAAGAAAGAAGATAGATTTTTGATGACTTTTATGCACTTGGAAACTACAACTTACAATCTGCATTTATATTTGGGCTGGTTAAAGTGACAAATAAACTCAGAACATACACTGCACTCGTGGCAGTGGTAGCCCAGTGGTAACGCGCTCGCTTGGGAAACCGAGTGAAGCGGGTTCAAATCCCGGGTCTCGCACCTCTGATATTTTCATGTGCGAATCATTTCTAACATGATTACCACTTGCCTTACGGTGAAGGAAAACATCGTGAGGAAACCTGCATGTCTGAGAGAACCTAACAAGTTTTCGAAAGACATGTGAAGTCCGCCAACCCGCACTTGGCCAGCGTGGTGGACTATGGCCTGATTCCCCTCGTACTGAAGGGAGGCCCGTGCCCAGCAGTGGGACGTGAAAAAGGGCTGAATACATACACTGCACAACAAAATATATTACAAGTATACCAACAGTAATGATGAAACTTTTTCTCCATTTAACTGTTTTGATATTGAAAAGAAAAGAACTCGTTTTTCTTCCTCTTTGACTGATATTAATCTAGATGTTTTGTACCCCAATGGTCGCCCCATAGAGAAGAAAAAATATGAAGATCTATTACAGCTTTTACCATATGTTCTTCCAATTCGACATGATTTCTATCGCAACTTGAAGACAAATAATTCTGCACAAGATACTGAAGCTGACTTCTATGATGATGACCTAACCCAAGACTAACTTTCTTATTTAGTAGAATAGTGGCCTATACAACACACATTTTTTTTAATTTCTATGTTTTATACTAGTTTGTAAGCATAAAAATATCAATAAAATGATTACTTTGTATGGTCTGTTTTTTATTTTTAAATAACTAGAGAAAATACTTAAATATCAGTACTGATGTAATTCTCAGATCATTAATGCTCATTATCTCCATACTTAATGTGCAAGGCTTGGGCCACTCTTCCGCTGAGCGACTCATATATAGTATGTATATATATATATATACTTTGTATATACTTTTCTAGATAATACCTCTTTCTATTGGCCATAACCGTAAGATAATATGTTGAGTAATTTTTGGGATACCTTGAATAAACCATAAACTCAACCTTATTTTATAATATGTAGTGATTATATTAAAAAAAATACCATTATTTATAATTAATATTAAAACTTACAACATAAACAAAATATTTCTCGCCAATAACCTATAGAAATACTCAAGTATTAGAAACCGCATAATAAAAATGGCGGGGGATTTTATTCGTCTACAATTTAACACACTGGTTCGAAATGAACAGTAATGGCCTCGTAAAATTGTGAGAAACGTTTCGCAATCAAAGGTAATATAAGAGTTGGAACAAACATCGACCCTGATCTCACCCTACGCCCAAATTCTTCTAACCGATAAAGAGGGTCAACAATTTATAAAAAAGTTCAGTCTGTCCTTAACTTCCTTTCCTTTCCATTAAAGTTATGACATCGTCACTGAAGGATATAGTCTCTGCAAAAGAACAGATAAAAGCAACACCACTTTGAATAGCTTTACGAGCAATCCTAAAATTTGCGCGTAGAGATTTAGAGATAACACGCGAATGAAGTTATCGCCACATAAACAACTTGGTGTTAAGGTAAATGTTGGTGTTGCTGGGAATGAAATATTTTTTCAAATATATTTCTACTCATATTTATAACGTTGTGATTCTGGTATTTGATTATGTAGAATCATGAGTTACATCACACATTTGTATATAAGGTGAATGTTTGTTTTTCCTTTATTCCAAATCGGCTGGATCGATTGAGATTAAATTTAGTACATAGATTATTCCTGAAGTAACTCAAGGCTTCTATTAATAATATCCATTATGTGGTACTGACTATATTGTATATTGTAAATACAAACGTCAGCTAGGCAATAATTATTTAATTTATATATATACATTGTATATCTATACAGATAAATACAATTTAAGTGCCTGTTTGTTATGTCAAAAAAATAGCTAAGAAAAAAAAGAAAAACACATTTTTTTTAAATGTTTTTAGGATTAGGTTCCACCCAAAAAAATTAAAACGCATCCAAGCGAAACGATTTTTTTTATTCAAAATCCCGATTAAAAATTAAAAAAAACTTTTTGCAGATTAGGATAGCGGGATACCAAATCTACAAGTAGTTTTATTGCGATATGCATGATTATATTATTAATATTTTATGAAATAAAACTATTTTTTCGGATTTTTTCGCGGATTTATTTTAATTTTTGGTTCCCCGTGTTTTGAATACCTTATAGCAATCATGGTCACGTAAGAGACTAAGGTTGTAGATATGTTACAACTCATTATACAGTTGTTACTAATTATAATTACTAAGCTGTGAAATTAAATCTTTCAAAAAATTTGAAAAGATAATTTTAATTAAAAAGTCAAATTCGCGTAAATCATAGAAAGTATTACGAGTAATATCTGTCACGTACCGCTTGTTACTTAACCAAAATTGTTTATTTAAGCTAAATTAAAATTTTGTTTTTAAATTTCAAATTGTAAACGTAATCGTTTTTGTTGCAGTGGTCAAAAGCAGTATGAGATATCAGACTACGCCTCCGCTCAGCAGAGTAGGCCCGACAGTATCTCTACGTGATATCGAACCTAATTTTGTAGGTCCCATTGAGAATGTCACAGTAGCCTTGGGAAGGGAAGCTGTGCTCACTTGCTCCGTTTCTGACATTGGGGATTACAAGGTAAGTTCAATGATTTTTAAGGATATTTTTCACTATAGTTTAGGCCTTATTGTTTTATTGAACTAATTAATAAAATTTTCTAACCAAAGTATGATGTATTCAGCCCTTTTTAACGTCCCACTGCTGGACACGGGCCTCCCTTCAGTACGAGGGGAATCAGACCATAGTCCACCACGCTGGCCAAGTGCGGGTTGGCGGACTCCACATGTCTTTTGAAAACTTACTAGGTTCTCTCAAACATGCAGGTTTCCTCACGATGTTTTCCTTCACCGTAAGACAACTGGTAATCGTGTTGGAAATGATTCGCACATGAAAATATCATAAGTGCGAGATCCGGGATTTGAACTTGCTTCACTCGGTTTCCCAAGCGAGCGCGTTACCGCTGGGCTACCACTGCCTAAAAAAAATATAATATTGAATGTGAAATAATTCATTGTAAAGCCTTATTTGTTTTAATTCGATCATTTCGCGTATTATAACTTGAATATTTTCCTCTGTTATTGTAATTGACTTAAAGTGGCTTAGGTACTGCTATAGAATCGTTAGTGTAATCGGGTCTGTCTCAGAAACCGCCTTAATCCGTCATACCTTCCCAATCTACATAATTTCCCTCAACTTACATTATCTTGTTCCGGGAAAATTGAATCTGACAGTGCCATGCCGACTCAAAGTTGAAATAAAATGGATTAGAAAAAAATATTTTTCAAATTTATGTATTATTATTATGTATTCTGGGGCAAAGTTAAAGTACACACTCATGTTGCTTGGTTATTATGTATCTTAGTAAATAAAGTAAGTAACAAATAATCAAATTAATGGATTTCCAAGTGTGGGGTATTGTATTCAGCCCTTTTTAACGTCCCACTGCTGGGCACAGGCCTCCCTTCAGCACGAGGGGAATCAGGCCATAGTCCACCACGCTGGCCAAGTGCGGGTTGGCGGACTTCACATGTCTTTCGAAAACTTGCTAAGTTCTCTCAGACATGCAGGTTTCCTCACGATGTTTTTCCTTCACTGTAAGGCAAGTGGTAATCATGTTAGAAATGATTTGCACATGAAAATATCAGAGGTGCGAGACCCGGGATTTGAACCCGCTTCACTCGGTTTCCCAAGCGAGAGCGTTACCACTGGGCTACCACTGCCTTTTTGGGTTGGTGTGGGGTATTATTATATTATTATTATTTATTGTAAAGTTTCGTTCATTTAAAATATAAAAATTTAGATTTGACATGAAATGGCTTTCAAGATATGAATTCACTTGTATAGGTGTATAATTTCAAAAAACTATTTTCATGCAGTTACATATTATGATAGAAATATATTAATAACTAAAAGTCCTGTTTGGTCTGAACAATGGTAAATCAGTCAAGACAAGTAACTGTAAATGATAAAATTAACTTAATTAGTGCAAAGAGTACCAATGAAATCATAAAAAAATGTTATTATATATTGAGGCTACTCATCTTCGCAGGACTTTAACCCAGAACTAGCCACTAAAACGATGCATGTTCTAAATAATATAAATAGAAACACTAAAACACTATACTCTTTCTTTCTACCCAAAAAAGAAAGTATAGATGATATATATATATATATATATATATATATATATATATATATATATATAAGAAAATTCAATAACCTTTGTCTAGGCGTTAGGTTTTTTGCTGTATGCAAATGAATAATTCTAACGTGTAACATATACACTACGTTAACGTTTTTATAAGTATTTGTTGAAGATAGATTATACGGGAATGGTTTTTATTTCTTCTAATGTGTTTGAGTAATATATTGTTTTACTATCAACTTACTCTCAATGCTCGGGTACATCACTAGATGTCCAAGCCAGTGGCGTTTACCCATTTTCCAACTATAGGTTGTTAAATTTGTGCCGCCCTCTATAACTGTCAGTTCTTTGATTATTCTTACAATCCTACAATTTGATTAACATGCTACAAGAAATATTTCTAATCATGTTTCGAATTGTTGCAGGAGTCTTTCTGATTTCTGCGAGACACTTTAAAGTAATTCTGCCTTAGATTCGCCGCCTCTATAATTTGCCACCCTAGACTTAAGCCTACTCAGCCTGCTGGTAAATCCGCCACTGTCCAGCACTAGCCTTTGTGTTGCTCTATGTAAAGTCTCTCTATGTACTAAGTTTCATACAAATACGTACAGCTGTTTCTGTGTGAAGGAATACTAAATACACACATACAAATTTTCGTATTTACACTCGTATTGTTAGATTAAGAAAATCTATTAGTCTTTCTAAAAATACATAGTATGTATTCTCTGGTAGCCGTCTAAAGGTAACAAATATTTTGAACAAACAGTATGGTATCCCAAGTTATTTTCAAAGAAATAACTTAGGCATAAGGCGGTAGAATGTTTTAAAATAATATTCTAAGAACGTTTACTTTGAACTTTTTATAATTTTATAATAATATCTATTAAAGTAGTTCTTAGCGCCTACATGCAAGTTTTCTTAGAACTTTTAAATCGAAACTAAGTAACACTATTGTTTATACAAACGTTGGCCTTCTAAGAGATTGAAATTATAGAAATACTGAAAGCTAAATAAATTAAAAAATATGTTGAGACACACAACACCATTTACGAGTAGTTTCAGGGTAAGCTACAAGCTTGTGTTATGGATACCAGATAATTGATACACTACACATATATAACTTTAAATACACATATATTATAAATATAAGCACCCATGACTGGAGTACAAACATTCGTGCTCATCACACAAATTAATGCCCCCAGCGGGACTCAAACACGCGACCGTTGGCACAGCAAGTGGGGTCACTAGAAACTGAGCCAAACGTGTCATCAAATATTATGTTTTACTATAAATTATGTCGAATAATATTAATATTTACTATTTCATAAATAATATAAAAAAATTATAAGTAACTCAGACTTTTCGTCTATTACAGTTCACCCTTGTATTGCTTAATATATTTCAATCAAAGGCGATTGCGTAATGGAGTAGGAAAAAAGGTTCCTTTTAAGGTGCAGGGTAAAACTAGTAACAGGATAAAATAAAGTTGCTATTCGCGTATTTCTAGTACTACTTTAAAATTTAAAATTCATTTAATAAGATTTTTACTATCATATAGAGATTTTATTCTAAAAATAAAGAAATATGTGTACCTATATTTTATTAATAAATCTATACTATAATAAAACAGTACAGGTCGAATGTCTGTACATAGCAAAAAAATGCTAAAAACCGAGTCAGGGGGGTGTAAGAAGACAAATAGAACAAATCCAGATTTTTTCCAAATTTTTTGTTTATCTGTCAGTTTGTCTGTTTGTCTGTTTGTACGGGCTAATCTCCGAATCTATTGGACTATGTGGGATAGTTAAAAAACTATAATAACTTATACAACTTATGCACCTAATTTAGTAAATTGTAACATTCTGATACCTTATATTGCCGGTCAAACAACAGGTTTACTTTTCATTTCGGAAAAATGAACGGTTCCCGTGGGAACTAATAGATCTCTATTAGTGTTTTTCTAGAGACGAACCCGATCGAAGAGAGGGTGAACCGCTAGTATTATATATCCAAAAGGAACCTAAAGTCTCGCCCTAGTAAAGCAACGGTAAGTCACCAGTTAATACAAAGTTCCAAGTAATTTTCATCAAACAATCAAAACTTTCTCACCCCTTTTTCTGCTAAGGGTTTGAATTTCGAATTACGTTCAAATTATAAGTGTTTCATTAATGGTGTCGAAGGGCTTATAATTTAGTACTTAGTTTCAAGAAAATTTGCCTTCCAACTATTAGAGATGGATTTTTAAGAAAGCCTTTCTAAATATTCATATAACATTTCTTCCAAATCTAAAATGTTTAAGTTTACTGATTGAGCCTCTCAATTTTTTATAGATTCCGTATGCTTTATATATCACCTTTCTTTTCGTGATAAGAATTATGTTTGAAATTGACCTACTAAATAATAATAATAATAATATTCGTGCTGAAAATTTCGCATAGTAAAAGAAATTTTTATAAAAAATCTTTTTGCAGAAAACTTTTCATTTCTAAAAAATAACGTGCCTAAGCTAATTATATAACAAGATCGATGATTAAGTAATAATTTGCTATATAAATATGTATTTTCCTTTTCCTTTCATGTCGATTTGGCAAATTATAATATTTACTGATCATTTATTTACAAAGAAATATTATTATAAGTAATAAATTATGTTATGATATACTATGTAAGATATTATGTAGGTATTATATACTTATACATATATATACTTACATTATTATATATAATACTACTAGCAGAAACCGCGGCTTCGCCCGCGTTTAATCTACAAAAAAACTCTTTTGCTATATGTTATATGTATTTATATAATATTAAATTATTTGGATATTGTTCATAAAAAATACAAAAATTGCGATTAAAAAATAGGGGTTGGGGGTAGGAGGATGAAAAATACTTTACGACCTATTCTCATACCTATTAAATATACAAAAAAAAACATTGAAGTTCGAAGGAGTGCGACCACACACACGGTGACACGAGATATTTACATATTAGACTAGCATTGACCGCGGCTCCGCCCGCGTTCAGATGACCAAAAACCAAATTCTTATGAAATTAACCAAATTATTATATATATATTTTACATATTAGTATATTCTTACATAGCAGTTTTTGTATTTTTTCTCAGAAATGAGATATTTTCCCGCGGTAAAAAGTATCCCATATGTTGACCCGGATAACCAGCTATCATCATACCAAATTTCATCAAAATCCCTCCAGTGGTTTTCCCATGATGCTGTAACAGACAGACAGACAAAAATTCTAAAAACTATAGATTCGGTCTCTGTATCGATAATAATGTCTATTCCAATAGCATTTTCCAAAACATATTTAATACACAGATTCGGCTTAGTCACAATTTTATTATATGTATAGATAGGTAAGCAGATATTTATAGATACTACTTTATTTACAAACCACAAGAAATATC